ACCGCCATGGCCCTGCGCCGCCGCGGATCGCCGGCTCCGGGACAGCCTTCCGGGTGTGGCCCGTCCCGGGGCGGGGTCTGGGGACGGCGCCAGGTGTGCCCGCCGGGTCACCACCTGAGCTGGGCTGGGCGCCCAGGGGCCCGGCTCGGAGGCGCCCCGGCGGTGGTTTCGGTGCTGGGGTGGCCGGGCGCGCGCGACATGGGTGGCCCAGGGCCCGTGCACCGCGAAGCAACACGGAGTCAAAATCCGGAGCGCCCTGCAGGAGGCAGCACTGTGCACTGCGGGGACCAGCTCGCTGTTGCTGTGCCCTGGGGGCTCTCGGGGTCTTCTGTGTGCCAGGCCTCGGGCTGGGGATACCAACAACCGGAGCCAAAACCAAACCTGGGGCCGCAGAGTGCATTCCGACTCATGGGGACCCCGTGCGTCCGAAAAGGACGGTGCTGCATGGGGTTTTCTTGGTTGTCATTCTTGCCGGAAGCAGATCGCCAGGCCTTACTTCCGCCACAACACTGGGGGGTCGCCAAACTTTAGGGTAGTAATTGGGCATAAACCACGTGCATCAGCCAGGTACCTATGGTGGGATAAGTGGATGCAAATAATAATAATAAAATAATAATAATAATAATAAATAAATAATAGATCAGACAAGACCCCCGTACACCAAGAGCTCCGAGACACGGGATCATGTGTGGGGCACTCTGAAAACTGTTCGTTCCATCCGCTCAGAACCTCTCCCCTGGGGCCCCTGGACCTGCCAGGACTCATCACGGGTGAAGGCCAAGGGCACAGAAATGGATCCCACAAGGAGCCCCTGAGGGGTTCCAGGTGCGCTAATGGAGGCTGCATTGGCCATTAAGGGTACTTCTCCAGTAAGGGTCCCCTGAGGCCTCCCCAGTACCAGCCAAGGTACTTGGGGCGCCGCCCCTGTCCCTTAAGGATGACCCTGAAACTTCCAGGGAGTTGAATGGACTAACAGGGCAGAAGGTGGCTCGATGGTTAAACGCTGGGCTGGTAATAGAGGAGTCAAGGGTTCGAACCCACTCGGTGCTTGTGCGGGAGAAAGACCTGGTGATTGGTTCCCAGAAGGAAACCCTATGGGGCAGGTCACTTTGATTTGGAATAGCTCCATGGCCAGTCATATAGGGCCAACTGGAAGGGGGGATGGAGGAGGGAGGCAGCGAGGCGCAGGGGCGGGCCGGGGAGCACAGGCATTGCACCCCTAAACTGACCAGGTTTCCACGTCAATCTCTCCTCCAAACAACACGTTGCCATTTGGGGAACCTCTGGCTCCCTGCGATGGCGGCCTGCAGAAAGTTTCTTTTAGGTTCTCCCCAGAGTCTCTTAATTTTAAGAGGCTCCTAAACCAGGCGCAGGAGCTCTGGTAGCATAGTGCCTAAGGCACTTGACTGCTCACCAGAAGGCTGGCGGTTCAAACCCACCAGCCACTCCTCAGAAGGAAGGTTAGGCAATCCTACTTCTGTAGTGATACTGCCTCGGAAACCCAAGGAGGGGTCGCTATGAGTCGGGGCCGACTCGTCGGCAAACAACAACAACAACAACAAACCAGGCGCAATTAGAAGGAGCGACTGGGATTAGCCGAAGGATTCCGAGCTCGGCCGAATGGCGACCGAGCAGACCCGAGGCGGGCCTGGGCGAATGAAGGAAGGCAGACGGCCCGGCCGAGAGCGCTGCCGGAAAATTCCGGAAATGGCCGAGCGGGCCTGGATGCCATCGTCGGGAAGAGCCGAGAGGTTACGAAAGAAGACCGGAAGCGCCCGAAGACGCCGGAGAAGGACTACCCATTAGCTCCCTCATTCAAACGTTCATGTATAAAACAAATGTTTATTGTGCGCCAATCGTATGACAAAGCATAATGTCAAGCGCTGGTGACAATACTGGAAGGAGCCACTCGCGGAATGGGACTCGGAAACCCAGTTCCGAAAACTACTGACAAGCTTTCTGTTCGCTAGCCGAAGAATTCCGAAGATGTCCGAGCGGTACGCGTCATGTTCGCGGAAATGGCCGAAGACTACCGAGCGGCGATGGAGGCGGTGCGGACGAGAGGGAGGAGGCGGGGACAGGCGGCCTCACGGGCGTGCGTAGAACGGAAGCGGAAATGCGTGTATATTATTAAAGGTGTCGCCCCGCCCTCTGGAAGTCTCTTTCCGCCACCGGCCGCTGTGAGGAGAGGAGGTGAGCGCGCGGCCCTCCATCCTCCGGGTCCGTCGTACGCCCGGCGTGGCCGCCATGTCGCACACCCTGTTGAGGGTCTCTTCCCCGTTCCCCGCGTCTTCCATGGCCACTCCGCGGCCCGAGGCTGCCCCCCAGCCGCGCCGCCAGAATCGCTGTGGATTCTCACGGTCCCCATACCCGCACCACGCTCCGTAGTTAGTCTCGGCCGTCTGAGTTCGGCGCCGCCGCCTGAGGTCACGCAGGCCCGCCTGCCACAGTTCGTGGTCGCGGTCTGAGCTTCGGGGCTCCCACATTCATCCAGGTTCTCCATCACCCGGGGACGGCCTCCGTTTGAGATCGCTCACGTGTCTCGTTTCCTCGTAGCCGCAGCCATGTCGGCGCATCTGCAGTGGATGGTCGTGCGGAATTGCTCCAGTTTCCTGATCAAGAGGAACAAGCAGACGTACAGCACCGTGAGTGGGGCCCGGGGCTGACGGAGGAGGGCTTGGAGCCCGAAATGACCCGAGGAAGGACTCCCGGCGCCCCCTCTCACCGTCCCCACTGCCTTTGCAGGAGCCCAATAACCTGAAAGCCCGCAACTCTTTCCGCTACAACGGGCTGATTCACCGCAAGACGGTGGGCGTGGAGCCTGCAGCCGACGGCAAAGGGGTGGTGGTGGTCCTGAAGCGGAGGTCCGGTGAGCATCGGGCCGCGGGAGTGACCCGTCCCGGGGACAGGGTGCGGGCCCGTCAGAGGCCTGGGCGCTGGTGGGTCCTGAATTGCGCGCGGTGGTGGGGTGCAGTGGCGCGTGATGCTTTCAGGTTAGCGCCTGTGCGCCCCCCGGTGGGGTGGAGGGCTCACCGCCCGGAGCCTGGGGCACGACGCAGCTGGGTCGGAACCGAGCGCTTTGCGTGCGTGGGCTCCGAGGACCCGGCCTGAGCGCCTCCTTCCCAGGCTGACTCAGGCCCAGACGGGTCTCCCCGAGTGGGAGGGCTGCCAGGCAGGCTTCCCCGGGGCTGTGCGGAGTTGAGTCACCGGGGGCCCCGGCTGCGCGTTGGCAGCCCACCGGGAAGGCATCCTGTGCCGCGCTGTCCAGCCTCTGGCTGGCGCCCGGTGACGGTTCTCAGGGCGCTGGCCCCGCTGCCACAGTGCAGGCCACGGCTCTTCCCCGCTGTTCCTGCTGTGGTCAGCTCCTGAACCTCGGGGTGAAGGCGCAGCTTTCCGGGTGTATAAGTCACTGGGCTACTGTAGGGTGAATGGGGGTCTGCTCCGGGGCCTGGTGGCACAACAGTTCAGCGCTCGGCTGCTAACCAAAAGGTTGGTGGTTCGAACCCACCAGTGGCTCTGAAGAAACACCTGCCGGTCCGCACCTGTGCAGGTGACGGCCTAGAAAGCCCCTGGGGCAGTTCTGCTCTTAATGGGGGGGGTCACAGGACTTGAAGGACCTAAGCAATCTGTCACACAGCCGCGGGGCGGCGGGCGGGGCCTGTGCTCTGGAGGGACATGTCTGCCCCGGAGCACAGGGCCGGCTGGCTTCTTGTTGTGAGCCGGAGTCCGTGCCTGTGTGCGTGGCAGGGTCACCGCCACGGCGTCTTTGATTCTCAGCAGAGCCGCGGGGGGGCCTCTTGCTGCCGCCCAGTCCCCTCCCTGTCAGCCTGGCTGCTGTGCCCTGCAGTCAGTCCTCAGAGGTGGTAGCTGAGGCCGGGCGGGACCAGGACAGGAGGGCGGAGCTGCAGCCTTGGGCATTTCTTAGGGATGAGTGGCAGTTTATTTCATGCGCAAGTAGGCAGTTGGGGAGCGCTCACACTAGTGTCAAACGTGTTCCAGAGAGAACTTGGTCGTCACCGCGCATGCCTGCTGCTGCACCTTGTTAGGGCTCCCTGCGCTGGCCAGGCCTGCCCTCCCGCTGAGATGGGGTGTGCGGTCAGGTGGCTTTAGGCTTTGCAGCTGTGCTCAGTGCAGGTGACTTTGGACAAGCGATGCTCACCTCGGTGTTGCCTGCTTCCTCCTGGGTTAGGGTTACTGTGAGGGGGACATGGAGGGGATCCCACTCAAGTAGGTGGAGACAGAGCGGGGCTGTTGGCCGGGCTGAGGAGGGCCACCAAGTCCCCACAGTCCCAGACAGTCCTGCTAACCAGTGGGCGACACTCTTCCTAGGCCAGCGGAAGCCGGCCACCTCCTACGTGCGGACCACCATCAACAAGAACGCCCGGGCTACGCTTAGCAGCATCCGGCATATGATTCGCAAAAACAAGTACCGGCCAGACCTGCGCATGGTCAGTGGGCCAGGGTGCCAGCCAGCGTGTGCGTGCCTGGGGGACGGGTGGGGCGGGGCAGGGCGCCCTTGGCTGGTTGCAGGGAGTCAGTGATAGCGGGAGGGGCCTGTCTGTGCTGAGCCCGCCTCCCGTCCCCAGGCCGCCATCCGCAGAGCCAGCGCCATCCTGCGCAGCCAGAAGCCCCTAATGGTGAAGAGGAAGCGTCCCCGGCCCACCAAGAGCTCCTGAGCGCCTTGCCGCCCAAGCAATAAAGAGAAGTCTGTCCTCTGTCTGAGCCTCCTTCCTGTGCCCCGGGGGCGCGGCCTCTGCGTGATCTGGGACCAGAACCCCTTCCCCCCGGAAGGGTGGTCAGGCTGCCCAGTGGGAGGGGTGGGATAGCTGCTGCGGCCTTGGGAAAAGGGGTTCGTGGTCACAGCTGAGACTCCGAGGCCACCAGATCCCGTGTGGGCGCCGGAGGGCAGCAGCAGAGGGCGGTGTCCCCAGGAGCAGGGGACCCCTGTCGGGTGGGGATTCCTGAGGGAGGTGGGGTCCAGGCTCAGGAGGACTGGGGTGAGGATTAGCATGAGGAAGGGGTGGTGTCAGTGGCGGTCCCCAGAACCAGAATCCCTGCCTTGTGTTCTGGGTGCACAGGCAGCTTCTAAAGGGTTCCTCCGGTGGATATCCAGGCCGGGGACTGTCTGCTTTCCGCAGCCTGCTTGTCTGCACGGATGCTCTAGAGCCACAGCCGTTGGGCACATGGCCCCCAGGGCTGCCACCACGGCCGAGTCGCAGCAGCCACCCTGTCCGGTGGGGGGCCCGCCTTCCCGCAGGGAGCAGGCTGCCCTCTGCCTGCCCGCTGTCACAGCTGGGTAGGGGTTGGCGTGCCCAGGCCTTGTGGAACCCCTGCGAGTGAGGTGTCTGGTACCCTGGCGTCGGTTACACCGAGTGTCTGGGTCTTTGAAGCCGCACTGACAGTGGGGCACCTGAGGGAAAAGCCCCGAGGACGGGCAGCCGGGCTTCAACCTGGGAGCCCAAGACATCTTTGGAGTCTGGCAACACCAGTCCCACCCTTGCCCTGGCTGCCTGTGTCCTTGTCCCTCACCTTGTAACCTGTCCAGGAGACGTGAGCGCCCCTTCTCAACTCTGTCCCCTCCACCCGGCGGAAGCCTTCACCGAGGAGCTCCCGAGGCCGGCTGCCTTCACGCCCAGCTCTCAGCCTATTTACACCTGTACCCGGCGTTCACTCCTGCCTGGGGGATCAGAGTAGACTCATGCACTGAGGGTGGGTGCCTGGGTCTTTCCACCAGTTAACCTGGGTTCCAGTCCAGCAGAGGTGCCTTGGAAAATGCAGGGACTGGCTCCTGGAAGGTCACACTGCGGTTGAGTTCCGATTGATGGCAATGCTTGAGGACAGCAGACCTCCCCCAGAGGGCTTCCAAGGAGGAAACCCAAGGAGGGGCGCCGAGTTGGGTCCGACTGGATGGCACATGACGTCTACGGAAGTAGATTGCCGAGTCTTGCAAAGAGTGCTGGTGGGTTTGAACTGCCAGCCTTCTGGTTAGCAGTCAAGTGCCTTAGGCCCTATGCTACCAGAGCTCCCCTCTGTAGAGATACTGCCTCAGAACCCCAAGGCTGGGACCCTACGGCAGCACGTTTGGGTTTTCAAGGCCGTGACATTTAGGTCTCCAGACATTGCTTCTGAGTGCCTCTGCGGAGGGCCCTGGGATACATCTGTGGAGTGGCCAATTCTCTAAGTACTCCAGTCACCCATGGACCAGCTGTCATCCCCACGTTAAAGAAGGGAAGACAGGTTCAGACAGGGCAAGGGCACCCACATCCTTCTCCTGCATGCCTACCAGGGACTCCCAACTGCTGGGGAGAGGGACCCTGTCCAAAGGCCAGGTGCTTCCTGTACCCCACATCACAGCTCTGGGGCCCTGGGCAATGGGACTCCAGGTCTCCAAGTCAGCCAGCCTCCTGACCTCCACCCCTCCACCACCACCTCACCCAGGTGCCCCACTGACGTGTGGAAAGGGCCCCAGCTGAATAATAAACGTTTGTTATAAATTACTTTCACGCACGGCATTTCGCTATCAGGTGGCTCCCCATGTCTGTAACTACTTGTCTGCTTAATTTTTTTTTTTGAATAGCTGATTGTGTACTGTTAGATGCCATCACGTCGGCTCCGACTCCTAGCAACGCTTGTCCAGCAGAACCAAACACTGCCCCGTTCTGCCCGTCCTTCTGTCTGTGCTGGCCATCAGCCCTCATTGCAGCCACTGGCGACTCATTTTGCTGGGGGTCTTTCCCCCTTTTTCCTGACCCTCTATTTTGTTGTTAGGTGTTGTAGAGTCGCACCCGACTCAGAGACACCCCTCCTTGGGTTTCTGAGGCAGTGTCACTACGGAAGTAGATTGCCCCAACTTCCTTCCAAGGAGGGCTGCTGGGTTTGAACCGCCAGCCTTTTGGTTAGCAGTCAAGTGCCTTAGGCACTGCACTACCAGAGCTCCCACCCTCTACTTTACCTAGTATGATATTCTCCAGGGAATGGTCCCTCCTGACAACATGATCAAAGTAGGTGAGACAAAGTCTGGCCATTCTCACATCTAAGGAGCATTCTGGCTGCACTTCTTCCAACACGTATGTGTTGGTTCTTCTGGCAGATCATGGTACTTTCAGCATTCTTCACCAGCATCCCAACTCAAAAGCATCAACTCTTCTTCAGTCTTCCGTATTCATTGTCCAGCTCTCACATGCATGTTATGTGCCATCAACTCATCTCCAACCTCCTTGGGTTTCCGAGGCAGTATCTCTACAGAAGTAGATTGTCCAACCTTCTGAGAAGTGGTTGGTGGGTTTGAACTGCTAACCTGGTTAGCAGTCAAGTGCCTTAGGCACTATGCCACAAGAACTCCCAAATGCATACGAGGCAACTGAAATGACTATGACTTGTGTCAGGCGCACCCTAAGTCCTCAAAGTAACATATTTGCTGCTTTTGAGCACTTTAAAGAGGGCTTTTGTAGATTTACCCAGTGCAATATGAAGTCTAATTTCTTGACAGGTCTTGATTGTGGATCGAAGTAAAATGAAATCCCTGACAACTTCAGTCTTTTCTCCATTTATTGTGATGCTGCTTATAGGTTCAGATTTTTGTGTTGAGGTGTAATCCATACTGAACGCTGTAGTGTCTGATCATCTTCACATTCAGCAAGCTAGGTTGTGTCATTTGCATATCACAGGTTGTTAATACGCCTTCCTCCAATACTGATGCCACGTTCTTCCTCATATAGCCCACCTTCTCGGATTATTTGCTCAGTTTACACATTGACTAAGTATGGTGAAGGGATACAACCCTGATGCACTCCCTCCCTGATGTTAAACCATGCAGTGTCTCCTTCCTCTGTTTGAATGACAGCCTTCTGGTCTATGTATAAGTTACTCATAAGCACAATTAAGTGTTCTGGAATTGTACTCAATGTCATCCATAATTCGTTACAATCTACACAGTCAAATGCCTTTGCACAGTCAATGAAACACAGATGGACATCTTTGTGGAATTCTCTGCCTTCAGCTGAGATCATCTGACATCAGCAATGATATCCCTTGTTCCACATCCTCTTCTGCATCCGACTGGAATTTTTGGCAGTTCCGTGTCAGTATACTGCTAAAACCATTTGTGGATTAATCTTCAGCAAAATGTTACTTGTGTGTGCTATTAATGATACCGTCTGATAGTTTGCACACTGGTGGAACCACCTTGGAAAGAACAAAAAAAAGGAACCCCTCCCGGCAAGTGGCCCCGGAACCCCCCTCCAAAATTCCTGGCAAAAAAGGGGGGCCCCAACAAAAACGCCCGCCGGTGAAAAAACCCAACCGGGAATCCGGCAAATCCCGGGGGCCTTATTCCACCCTTTAGTGCAGCTTGTAAACTTCCTCCAATTACCACTAGTTCTTGACTTTGTGTCTAATTGGTGATGCATTACATGGTGAAGCTGGCAGCATGAAGAGGTGCACGGGGTGAAGGCTCAGCACCAGCACCCCCGCCCCGGAGATGGCCACCTTATCCTGCCAGCGTTTGCTATGGGATTATCAGCACGAGGGAGTGCAGGTTCTGTTGTGTGACTGCTTAGGGTTAGGCCAGGGGTCCTGAACTAAGGGACCTCCTGCTTCCCAGGGGGCATCTGTGGACATCCTGGGCTGTCACAGTTACTGGCATCTAGTAAGCAGCCAGGGATGTTTCTGAGCGAAAGGCCCCCATGCATACACTGTAGAGCCATCCCTTAGGGGCTCCGAGGCTGGACGTCATCAGGAGGGACCCTGGAGAAGGGCATCATGCTCAGTCACGCGGCGGAGGGTCAGTGAAAAAGAGGAAGCCCCTCAATGAGACGGACCGACACAGCGGCTGCAGCGACGGATTCAAACGCAGCGCCGACCGCGAGGGCGGCACAGGGCCCGGCAGGGGTTCGTTCTGTCGCACCTGGGGGCCGACGGGCCTGGGAACCGACTCGATGGCACCTACTAACCACCATCTTACAGGAGCAGATGCCCGCTCTCGCTCCCGTGGAGTCACTGGGTGGGCCGAGCACTTACCCACTGCGCCACCAGGGCTGCTCCGCTGGCTCATCCGCCAACGTTCATTTCCACGGGGACTCAGTCACATCCCTGGAGAGGCACCTGGCCGCCCTTCACCTGTCCCCACAGACACAGTCCCCACCAGGTGGTTACCAGCACGGCGGCCGCCCTCCTTTTAACTTCCGAGGCTGCCTTCTGTCTCATTAGGTAGGGTTCTGCGCTGCCGTCCAGTTGGCCAACTCACAGCAGCCCAAGGCTGCTCAGTCCCGTGTGGTGCCGTCAGCCCATCTTCAGCTGGGGACTGGGACGTTATGATCCCAAGGGTTTTCAGGGACTGGTCTGCAGAAGTAGGTCTCCAGACCTTTAGTCTTCGCCTTAGTCTGCAGGCACTGCTGCCGGCTGTCCAGCATCCCAGCAACAGGCAAACCTCCGCCGACGGATGGCGGTGGCTGCGCTTACGGGACCTCAGCCCGCAACTGCACCCCGGCCTCTGTCGTGGAGGGTGATTTCTGCCCTTGAACCACGACTGTCCCCTTTACAATGACAGCACTCACTGTGGGTTAGGGCCCATCCTACTTCAGTGTGGTCCCATATTTACTTGTAACATCTTTAAAGACCCTATTTCCAAACGAGGGCAAGTTCACAGGGACCAGGGTTGAGATTTCAGCGTCTTTTTTGGGGACACCATTGAATCTGTAACACCTAGGCAAAAAAATCCAAACCCAGTGTGGTGGAGTCAATTCTGACTCGCAGCACTCCTAGAGGACTGAGTGGAACTGCCCCAGAGGGTTTCCAAAGCTGTCAGTCTTCACAGAAAACCCAAACCACACCCACTGCCATGGAGTCCATTCCAACTCGCAGCTCCCCTAGAGAACAGAATGGAACTGCCCACAGGGTCTCCAAGGCTGCCAATCTTCACAGAAGCAAAGCCCAAACCACACCCACTGCTGTGGAGTCCATTCCGACCCACAGCGCCCCTAGAGGACAGAGTGGAACTGCCACAGGGTCTCCAAGGCTGTCAGTCTTCACAGAAGTGGGACTACTGCACTTTCTCCCGTACCACAAATGGTGTGTTCAAGCTGCCCACATTTCCATTAGCTGCTGAACATTTAACCACTGCGCCACTACAGCTCCTTCCAAGGGGTCCACTGACTGGGAAAGATCTCCAGTCCTGCAGCTGTAATCTTGTGGGATGCAAGCACCCCTGGTGTTCACACCTGTAGTCATCCTTCCCAGATGTTCACTGTGACCCACTGTTCAGAACACTGCAGGCGAAAACGTGAAGTAACACGAGGAACATGTGACTTACATCAGACCCTGCCATAACCCGGGGACTCTGTGTCATGGACACCACTCCTGTCCTGTCATCAAGCCCTTATGAGCCAAGGTTTAATCAAGGTGGGCCTACCTCATCAGGTGAGCCCTTAAAAGGTCAGGGCCCTTCTTTCAGATTCAAAGCTCTGGAGTGACCATGGAGGGCTAAGTCCGTGGGAAGACCTCCCGGCCCTTGGGAAGAGATGAGACCAGCCCTGGCCCACGAAGTCCTATAACCACAAGAAAATGTAATCTACCAGCAGCCACACAGACCCTGACGGATGTCTCATGAGCTCAGCCCCACCCAGGTCTGACCAGGAACTGAGTGGGCGCTGTGACATCACGGAGACACAGCGGAGCCCAGGCTTTCATAGCCACGTGGGAAAACCCAACAGTGTGCCAGAGCTGGGGGCGGCCTCAGACAACGGACAGAGCCTCGCTCAGCACAGGACCAGAGGCAGAGGACACCAGCTCCTCACACAAGGCCACCCGCCACCCTGCACAGGAAGGGGCACGGTGCCACCGTGCCCATCTCAGACGGAGGCAGTGGGCACCTGGCCCCCAGCTGTGGCTGCCCCCCCATCCCACTTTAGACAGGAAACCTGACTCCAGCTGTAGTGGGGCCAGGGGCCTCGAACCTTAAACAGCTGCTTTTCCAACTTTATTTAGAAAAACAAGTCCAGGCCCGGGTGCCCCCCACGCCCCCCACCATAATTTAAATAACTTAGACGGAGCAGAGGGACGGGTCGGGGTGCGGGAGGGGGTGGGGAGGGTCCACTACAGCCGCCGCAGGGCCCGCTTCTTGTCCGTCTTTTTCTTCGCCGCCAGCTTCTTCTCACGTTCGCCCGCGTGCTTCTTGGCCATGGGCCCATCCGCCCCGCCGGGGCCCCCGGGGGCCGAGGGCTCGGCAGCGGCCGTGGCTGGGGCGCCGCCGTGGATCTCGGTGAGCAGGCGTGCGCGGGCCGCGTACTCCTCGTAGTCCTCCAGGAGCAGGCGGCCCGCCTCCTCGTTGAGCGCAGACTCGGGGTTGGGGTGAATCAGCAGGCACTTGATGGTCTGCGGGCAGAGGCCGGGCCATTGGAGGCGGCTCCCCAGGGTCCCCCGCTGCCCAGCCACCCCACCGCAGCTCTATGCAGGGGCCTCCCCAGGCCTCTGCACACGCCCGTGGCATGTCCCCACCAGAGCCTACGTGTGAGCACCATGCCTTCTCCAGCACCCAGAACAGCTGCCCGTTTGGGCCAGGCCTCAGAGCCCCTTGCTGGTGACCCAAGGGAAAGTAAGGCCTGCCTCTCGGCGAGGGAGCCGGCCCGGGCCTGGCTGGAGTCCCGTAGGGTTTCTGACTTGCTCTATGCAGCTCAAGGTGCCTGACCACACAGCCCTTCAGGGCCCTGGAGTAGGAAAGGAGGTTTGGGGGAGGACGGACTCATTCCAGGGTCGGGGTAATCTGGAGCCTCGCTGCTGGTGTACTTGACCCCAATGCACCCTCATCTTTCCACAAAGTTACCACGAAGTCAAATTCGTCACTGGCTGTAACAAGGGTTCCAAATCTACAGCCACAAGGCTGCGGGCCCGGACACAAGGGTCAGCTGCCGGCCCAGGCTGCGGGCCCGCTCCACGTCCACCCTCAGCCTCTCAGTGCTGGGGCACAACTGGGGAAGCCTCTGCACAGAGCCCCCCCCTCCCAGCTTTCCTTCTGGAGGGGCCCCAGGATGCCCCCTAACGTCGCTAAGCAGGCAGCGTGCCACCCTGGCTCGTGCGGCGGGGCCGGCCAGCTAGGCGCGGGGCGGTGGCGATAGCACCTGGCTCAGGGAACAGGGGCGCCCCGCCTCCCGTCCCGCCCCAGGGGCTCCCCACACCTGTTGTTACTCTCTGGACTCGCCTCAATGTCTGCTCTCCCCGCCCGGCTTCCACGGTACCCCGGGGGGGGGGGGTCACATGGCAGAGGCGACGCGTCGGGTCTGTTTCCTTTGCAGCTCATCAGCTCCCTGCACCCTGACTACAGGAGCCCCCACCTCCGGGTCCTCCCAACCCCCTCAGCCATCGGCTGGGGCTCATTAGACTTTCAGCCTTTTGCTCCTTCTAAAGCTGAGGGTTGGGCAAGGAGAGGCGGCAGGCGACAACACTCTCAGCGGGGGCCGTCCGGGGTGCTGTCAGCCGGGGTTTCTCACTGAGGCCAGACCACTGTGGAGGGGTGTGAGTGTGGGGGTGCACTGCGCGCCGCGGGGAACGGCATCCCTGCCCTCAACACACACTGCATGCCACCTCCCCGCCCCCAGAGCCAGACCGAAGCAACGAAAACTGTCTCCTGGGAGTGGGCAAAACTGCCCCTGGTTGCCCCCACCCCCCGGTCTGTGAGAACCTTCCAGAACTACACGGCAGTGACGGTGGCACCAACCACTGACCTGCCAACGCGCTGCACGCAACCTCTGTCCCCAATCATAACACCCCCCAGGTCACCCCTAACCAGCCAGGACTTCCACCCATTCAGAAACCTGGCCCCAGATATGGGGTCAGTTCCACAGAATGCTGGCGCCCTGGGCCCAGGACTGCACCCTGCCGAGTTTTCCAGAAAAGCTGGAACCCTGGAATTCTATGTGGAAATGCCCAAGTACCTCAAACTTTGTTTTAAAAGTAACAAAAAGCGTCGTGGTCCCGAGGCTGGGCCGCCAGGCCACTCACCAGCAGCACGTGGCGGATGCCCAGCTCCGCCGTCCAGTCCCTCTTGAGCACGTTGACGCAGATCTCGCCGTTGGCGCCCACGTTGGGGTGGAAGATCTTGGTCAGGAAGTAGCCCTTGGGAGGGGAGGCAGGAAAGTCCTTCCCCAGCAGGAGCTTCATACGGAACAGACCCCCGGCATAGGGGGTCCCCTCTGGTGCGGAGAGAGGGGGCTGGTCAGAAGGCCCAGGACTCCCAAACCCCAAAGCCCGGGCTTCCTGTGCGCAGGCTGCGGGTGGCCACCCTGCCTCCTCCACAGATGGTGCAGACGTGAGAGCAGGTCAGGGGGCCGCCTGCCTCCCCGAGAGCTGGCCCCCACCCGCAGCCACCGCCAAGCCCAGTCTGCCCCGCTCCCCTCCCGTGCAATCACTCCAGCCCTAGCCGCTCCCAGGGGACCACGACCAGCGCTCCCTTGTCTTCCTGGGGAACGTCTCCCGGGCAGATCACCCCACACTTCCCTCAGCTCCACTGTGTGCCCCCTCAGCCAACTGTCCTCAGGCCGCCGCTCCGACCCACCAGAGGCACCTGGCCTGACCTCCTCCCAGACCCGGCCCTGCCACCTGGGTGCCAGGAGCTTCTGCTTCCTGTCCCCCGCTCCGGCCCACTCTCCCCTCCGCAGGGCTTCACCCCACTGCTGCTTCAAGCCCACCAAGGGCTTCCTCCTGAAGACCTTCCCCAGGCCCACGAGGCCCTGAACACCTGAACCGCAATGCTTCAAGCTGGCCCCACACAACAGGGACCGCGGGGTCTGCCTCCAGGTCTTGGCAGGGGGCACTCCACCTGTCCGTTCCCCCACTGTCACCGCACCACGTGCTCACCTGGGCCACCACTTTCTGGAAATCCAGGTAAGAGGGGGAACCCCTGGGTATGATCACCCTGTGTCCCCACTGTCCCCGACACACAAGCAGCACGGAGCAGCTGGAGGCCCTTGCGGGCGCTGTCCTCACGGCCCGAGACCCCCTCCCCCACCCACTTAAAACCCACCTGTGCACAGCGTCTTGGAGACCCCTCCGCCTGGCCCCAGAGCCAGGCCCCCATCACCTGCTCTCCCACACCCAAGAATTTCTGCACTACTTCCCGTGTCCCGTGCGCTGTCCTGCCCCCCACACCGTGAGCGCTGCAGGTGCCCGACCTGGCCAGCGCCGCGAGCCCAGCGTGTCACACTCACCAGGGCCCTCGATGGTGACCTGCAGGTCGGTGAGGTCCTCCTCGTTGGGAAAGACCTTGATGCCATCCGGAGGGTCGGCGGTCAGCGTGGTGACCTCCTTGTACACGAGCCGGATGATGTGGGGGGGAAGGTTCTCCACGTTGGAGTTCTGGGCACGGACGGGAGAACGGGTTAAGGGGCCGGCGCACCACTCCGTGGTCCTCGGGCTCCCAGACTCCCACCCAGGATGCTATAGGACCCCTGCCCCACGCTGACCTCCAGCAGAAATGGGGGCGGACCTCGTAGAGGCCTTCTAGATGGTTCCATCTTCCCAGAAACCCTAAAGTCCTCTGTAGTCCTGCACGGACCCCCAACGGCTTCAGGTAGGCCTGAGGCCTGCCCTGGCCCCTTTCCCCACATAACTTTGGTAGAGCTATTCGCGAAACCCCGCCTCGGGCCTGGAGACGACGGCGGAGCCGCCTTGTTCCCCCTGACACCCACCTGCAGGGCCCCCAGGCGCCCGCAGCCCTCCCCGAGGCACAGCCGGGCCTTCCGCTCCCGGGCGGCCCAGGTCCCTGCCCCGCCTCCAGAAAGCGCCTGAGGCCCATCACAGGCCCAGGGCCCCGCAGGTGGGCCTCAAATCCTTCCGGGAACCCTGCCACCTCCTCCCCGGCAGTCCCAACCGCCCCTCCGAGGCCTGCAAACCCGCGCTCACCATGCCTGCGGCCGGCCGGGGGCGGGTCCCCCCGGCCCCCTTCCTGCGCTCCTCGGGCCGCCGGCCGGGGCGGGGGGCCCAACAGCAGCCGCTGCGGCCCTGGCGAGGACCCGGGGGCCTCGCTCCGCTCCCCGCTTCCTCGGATGTCCAACGAGCACCGCGCCCACCGTTGCTCTCGCCCCGGCTGCCCGGTCGCACTAAGCCGGCCGCGCGCGCAGCAAAGCCCTTTTATAGCAGCGCGCTGCGCGTCCCCCGCGTTCCCGCAGCGTCGCGCCTCGACTCGTGACGTCAGCGCGCAAGGGCTGCGGCGTTCGACCCTCTCACAGCCCCCTCTACGAACTGCGGACCGAGGTGAGAGGAGTTGGGGAGGGAGACGAGCGGGAGGCCAGCCAATGGCGGTGCGCAGGGGTCAGGTAGGAGACCCTGGCGAATGGAGGGACTGAAAGGGCAGAGAAGAGTAGCAGGCGACGTGAGTGGCGACGCGGCTGCTGATTGGGCCATTTGAATGAGACGCCGCCACGGCTTGGAG